AAGCACGTGCCACTGTGCTCAGTTCAGCCTTCTAAAAAAGTGTTTTTCTTATAAAATACTCAACAATCATTTATTAAAACTTAAAACGTAATACATCTGGGTGCGGTGCTGCCCACAGTGGGAGAGGAGACGCCGGAACTCAATGTCATCACCCCGTAGGGAGTTCTAGGCCAGAGTGATCCCCTCTGAAAAAACAACCCCCCCCCCTAAACCCAACAAAATCAAACAAAAAACCCCGGGCAGTGGCGGCACACGCCTCTAATCTCAGCACTCAGGAGGCAGAGGCAGGCAGATCTCTGAGTTCAAGGCCAGCCTGGTCTACAGTGTGAGTTCTAGGACAGCTACACAGGGAAATCCTGTCTTGGGGAACAACAACAACAACAACAAAAAAATCAAACCAAAGAAGTCCAATGCAAACCATAGCTCATTAGTACGGAAGGTTAAGAGCCAAAGAATTGAAATAAAATAGAATTTTTAATTCTTTTGGTGCTATAATGAAATTTTATCAAGTAAACGTGAAAGCACTCCCAACCCCAGCACTCACCTAGTTTCGTGGGAAGAAGAGTTGGCCAGCTCCTTTGCCTTCAGACCCACCATGGGGTCAGGGCCTGCTGGGAAACACACCACAGCACTGGCGCTTACAGGTGTGCCCCTCCCTGACTCCTGCGCCCCCATCCTCTCACCGCCTCCCCCCCCACCCCGCGCCCCAACTCCCAAGGCGTCTCACTGGCCACACCAGTTTTTAACAGTAAATAAAACTGGAATCGGTTAACCATGTAAGAATTAAAAGAGTCAAAAAAGGGACCGACGACGACGTTACTTGAAAATTTTAACTGCTGCTGGTTGGCTTATCCTGCCACGTGACTGGGTCAGGTACCATGTGACCACTCAGGGTAGCAAAAGCTGGGAGTGTGGACGCACTGGACTGTGAAGACTTATGCCCTCCAAGGGCAATGCATGAGAGACCGAGATTTCCTCCCAGTGCCCAGAATGCAGTACCATTTAAAACGGAAGAATTCTTTATTTCTGGAATTTTCCATGTAATGCTGCTTGACCTTGGTTGATTAAACACCACCCCCCCACCCCCACCCCCCCACCCCCGCAACAACTCACCTGGAAAAGTGGGAAGTGAAATATCCCAGGTAAGGGCAGTGGCGGGAGGGAGCTACTGTGTTCGCAGGAGCTACCCTGCCTGCATGGGCCTGGTGCCTGGGAGGAGAGTTGTCTAGTCATTGTTGCTTTCCAAGGTGATGTCAGGATGCTAGCTAGCTCTGGGAATGCTACACAGAAGAAGGACTTTGGGTTGGACCAGAGCACTTGGCAAACGAGAGAAGAAATCTCTCATCCCCTGGCCTACCAACCTCTCTCTAGCGTCCCCTATTGGTAGAGTGAAAAATAGAGACAGCAGTTGAGAGTGAAATGCAATGCCCTGCGGAATGCTCCTTTGCTTCTGTTGGCCATTGTTGTGGATGCAACGTTAATGACTTCTTCGAGATCCACGGGCTGCATCTCTTTCTCTCCCCCCTCTCAACACACACACACACACACACACACACACACACACACGGCTAGGAAAGAGTTCCTTATGAAAGACTCTATTACCTAAAGGTTCTCTGAGGAAGATGTGACAAGTTCACAAATGTGTCTCCCTTTTCTTACCTTGGTGCTTCTTCTACTGCTCAGGTCTTCCCAGAACTCCACAAAAGCCTTGGCTTTCAATGAGAGTGGAGCAATCCACACGTATTCCCTGCATTTACGCAGTTGTTGGGAGGCTAGAGGCCGAGCATGTGGAAACTATTCTCTGGGTTTGACCTGACTCCGTGTTCGTTGCTGGAGCAGATATTAGGGTGAGAGGCTGTACTGTGAGCATGCTGATGGTGTGATCCAACGTGATAGGCATATTCCTCTGTGTGTGTGTGTGTGTGTGTGTGTGTGTGTGTGTGTGTGTGTGTGCTGTAATATACAGGACATGTCTAAAACATGACTCCAAGGACAGAGCCTCCTTCCTGTTTTCTTTTTTCTGGCTGCTGGAGGGAATCTGGCCATGAGTCTGAGATGATGCCCCGTATTGTTGGAATGTCCCCACAGCCTTCATGTTATTATTGACTGGCCCGTGTTGAAGGTTTGTTCTCATTAAGATATACTTTGTCTTCAGGGTTCCTGCCTCTCCTGCCAGGTTCAGGGAGGGCCCATGAGTCAGAGCTACAGTAAATGGCCAGTACCCATGCACCATCAAGGTCCCATTCTGGTGGACTTTAATCCCATGTCTGCTGGAATTTGCTGGAATCTTCTACACCTGTTTGCTTCTCTCCCTAGACTCTCCACAAATGTAGTTGGTGGTGAATCAGAGCCCCAGCATGCACTTGTCAAGGGCTCTGAGTCTTGTTTCACCACCAGGACCCTACTTAAGGGGCGGCCACATCTCAACGAAGTTGAGTGCTTTCTTGATAGATGTATTATGGGATAGTCTTGTCAATCAGACAGCTACAGGTTGTCTGCTAACAAGACCGTCCTGTATTATGCCCGAATTAATGCACTACGAAAATGCTATAGTTTTGTCCTTCTGTGGAAGGGCCTCTGGTTCAGGGGCCCACTGGGGTTTGATGTCCTCTGTGCGTTTTGCTCTCTGGCATCTTTAGTGTGGAAGAACATAACCAGAGTTATCTGCAGCCCTCCAAACAACCTCACTGACAAGAGCTACGTGTTCCTGTCCCCAAACTTCACAGGAAAACAGGCCCAAGGTGACTCTTCTGCCCCGTCCGTCAGTGGACACTTGTCTGTCCCCTGCTCCCAGTCTCCTGCTTTCTCTTTCTCCGGCTGTGACACTGCCTCCAGTCAGCCCGTCTCCTGAGGAGAGTTGGGCTGGGGTAGAAGACGCCTTGGATGAATCAACAAATCTTGGGAGCGGAGCTGCCCCTTAGGGAGTGCCCTTCACTGGGGCTGTTTGTTGCGTATTTGAGGTGTGGTGCTGAATGACACCCTGCGCTGCGCACTCTGCCCTAAAAGCCCTGTGTCCCATGTTTACTGTTCACACTCACAGTCCTAATCCACGTCACCCTCAAAACCAGCCTAGTCAGCACCTAGTGCTTCTAGCAGCAGGAGCAGATGGGCATGGCACCTGGTACCCTGCAGGTGCCTTAGGGACGTACGCTGCTGGGTTGGCCCAGCTGGGTCTTTTGCCACACATCTGGAAGCAGATGTTCACAGTGAGGGCAATGGTAATGTTTGGCTGTCGGGAACTCATGGGGCCATACCTGAGGAGATTTTTAAGACAGTATAATTTAGGTTCAGCTGGTTATAGGAGACATACTGTTTCTATAAATTTGCATCTTTAGGAGAATGGAAGCCAGCATGTACTAGGTAGGGCTCAAGAGTCTGCGGACTGCGGAGCTATGATGGTGTGGCAGGTGTGGAGGGGAACCAGCTGTGGACCCGATAAGAGGTCAGGGAGCTTCAGGGCTAGCATTGGGAACATAAAGTGTGAGTGTTTGTCGGACTTATAGAAATGAAGGAAGGAGGGAGGGAGGATGAGGAGGGATTGAAATTACGGATTGGTGAGATCATGAGGTCAAGGCTGGTGGCTGGGAGGTTCCTTGTGAGTGAGAAGTATAAAGTGAAACAATTCAGTGCAAATGAAAATGAGCCTAATGCCAGCCGCCGCCGCCGCCGCCGCCGCCGCCGCCGCCGCCGCACGCCTTTAATCCCAGCACTCGGGAGGCGCAGCCAGGCTGATCTCTGTGAGTTCAAGGCCAGCCTGGTCTACAGAGCGAGATCCAGGACAGGCACCAAAACTACACAGAGAAACCCTGTCTCGAAAAACAAAAACAAAAACAAACAAAAACAAAAACAAAAACAAAACAAAGAAAGAAAAAAAAAAGAAAAAGAAAACGAGCCTATACTACCAATCAGTTCTGGGGAACTGTGAGGTCCAGTAGGCCCTCCTGATTTTGCAGGAGAGTGTGGCTCCTGCCCACCTTCAAATATGACAGGCAGAGCCAAGACTAATGCGGACAGGAGAAGAAAGCCAGAGGCCGGTAATAGGGAGGGAGAAAAAGGAATCTGAGACCAGCCTGTTACTCTTACGTGTATAGCTTAGATAAGTGATCTAAACCCATACCACACATGGACACCCGTGACTGCTCCAGGAGAGAACCGTGGGTCTCCAGCACCATGCCATGGCTGAATCCACCGTGCCGTTTATTTTGATAAGTGATATTTCAGCCTGGAATCAAGTCTATTTAGAAATCTTTTCCCACCTTTTACAGCATCCTGTAAAAGCATCTTGCAGACTCTGAGGAAGCTGCTGTCTGAGGTAGCTCCTCGTTTTGATCTGCACGCCCACAGTGCAGTTGACACTCACCCTAAGAAAGAGGACTAGTCCGCAGCCACAGGCTGAGAGGCAGGAAGCTGCTGTTGACTGTTAGGATACAATCGCACCTTGAAGGGGATATCCTCAGTGTCAAAAGAACCGTGTGGGGCAGGCAGGTGCAGGTTTCAGTTCCTTCTTTGGCCATGATTTTTGAGGAGTGCCGTACTGAGCAGTTAAAAACAGGAATCACATGGTAAATCATGCTCTCAGGCTTGGATATGTTTTCAGGGGTTTCCAGGGCGACTGGAAATATCACTATGGATTTTTAATGTCTAAAGCCTCTATTCCTTTATTTCTCTCTGTCTCTGTCCATCTCTGTCTCTCTGTCCGTCTCTCTCTCTCTCTCTCTCTCTCTCTCTCTCTCTCTCTCTCTCTCTCTCTCTCTCTCTCTCTCTCCCTCTCTCTGCTCTTGTTTAGCCCCTGCTAGCCTGGAACTCAATATGTAGATCAGGATAGCCTTGAACTCACAGATATCTGCCTGCCCTTGCCTCCCCAGTGTTGGGATTAAAGGTGTGGATCATCACACCCAGCTTCCTTTCCGTCATTAAAACTAGACTTCCTGCTTCCACTTCCCAAGCGCTAGATTACAGACAAGGCCACCATGCCCGTTTCTCTCTATTTTCTCTTTCAGTCCTGAGGATCAACCTCAGGGCTCACACACTAGACAAGCACACTGTACAGCCTCAACCGTCTCTCTACTGTTACCGACATTTCCAAACATCGAGCAAAGTTGAAGGATGGCCGATGAGCACCCACGGGACTTCTCAGTATCAACAATGATAAACATTTTGTCTGCCCCCCCCAAAATCATCTTATTTAATTGCAAGTTGTGAGTATCAACTATGTTCTTCATCGAGCTTGACAGTCACGGTGTGGAGAGTCTCAGCAAAGTGAAGTCTTCTTAGAGACACAGTGGGCAGGATGAACACCGCTCCTGAGAATGTAAGTTCCCAGCACGTAGCTGATTCTCAAGTAAGTGGTGCCATTTTCCAACTGTTGTGACGCTACGTTCCATTTTAGTAACTCTTGCCTTAATGGTTTCTAGGGAGACAAAGCGAATCCACGTTAATTCTGCACACTTTTGTGTGTGCCCATCTTCTTCAGTTGACTTCAGGAACAGTATCTTCATGACGGTGTCCTGTGGCAAATGCGTACTCGAAGGAAGAACTGGCATTTTGCCTCCCGGTGTATTACGTACTGTCATTAATTATTTTATAATATGTATTTGGGAATGATAAGGAAGGACTTAAGGTATTTCAATATTTTGCTTGTGACTTGAAGCATAATAAAATGCTCACTTTCCAAGGTAAAAGATGTTAACTATGAAAGCAACACTCAGTAATGATTGCAGAGGAATCACACACATTATAATAACGGCTATCTGCTCCAGAAAAAAACAATTATATCCCTTTAAGGTTCTTATAATATCTATGCAGTTTTAGTGCTGTTTTATCCAACCTATATCATCATACACAAATGCAGAACTTCATTCCATTTAATCAGCAGCTAGATGATGGAAGAGAGAAAGCATTCATCAGGAAGCTGCAGATGTCCCATCTTTGTTTCAGAACACACCAGAGAATTTAATTCAAAGTTCTAGAAGAAATATTGACAGACAGATGGGACACAAACTTAATGAACCAGCTACGGAACAGCACTCTCTAATCTATCAAGGCCCTCTCTGGCACGTTCCTTTTTTAAAACCAACTCTCCGTTGTAAGTCAGCACATGAAAAATCCTTAACAATAATGTCTGATGTTGGACAAAAGCCATTGTAACTGAACAGCAATGATACACAAACCAGCAAGAGCCAGTTGTTTTAGGTAAAAGTAGCTTGTCTTTGTTCTATCAAAAAAAAATTTATGTTTTTATTTCAATGTGTGTCTGAGGATGCATGTGCATCAGGGTGCCTGCCGAGCCCAGACGAGGTCATCAGAACCCCTGAGATGCCTGTTGTGGGTGCTTGGAACCAAGCTCATTCATGTCCTCTGGAACTCCCAGCCTTTGAGGCCTATCCCTACCTCTCTCCGGGTAACCTGATTCTGTGACATGTGTTTTCACTGTATTTCAGGAGGAGCGTAGTTCATTGGTTTCAGCCCAAAGATTGGGGGTATTGAAACCTCACCGGATTGCTGATTCTTTGGCTTTATCCTAGATGTTCTGCTTTGGCGGGTCATGGGGTTGGGCTCAAGACTCTTCACTCTATCCAGGTTCCTAGGAGATCCTGACGTGGATGATGATGGAACATGCTCTGACCTATACCATATTCAGCCCCTGAGATTGCTAAGCCATGTCCGTCATGTGAGCTGACCACTCTGCTAACCCCTTCCATCTGGCCTAGTAAGTCACAGGTCAGGAGGAACAAGGGACCCATATTCTACAGGTAAGGACAGATGTTTTGGGGCCTGACCCTGAAAAGGGCGCTTTCTTCTCTTCTTAGCCCTGAAATATAAGTTAGGACACCTACTCGGTAGTGGTGAAATGAGGGGTGTGTGTGTGTGTGTGTGTGTGTGTGTGTGTGTGTGTGTGTGTGTGTGTGTGTGTATAGAGTAGCCTGCACAGTGACTGGACCGAAGATTAGTTTCTCAAAGGTATACACACCCAGGACAGCTCTGTACTAATTACACACAGACCGTTGTGAAATCACCATGTTATGTGTTTCTTTCACTATGACGTTTTCATACGTGGATATAGTGGACTTTCATCCTTTGGTACAGCAGTTTTGCAGATGTTAAAAGGTTAAGTTCACAGATACTACAGTAAGTGGGGTAGCTTTTCTTTAAAGGACCTGGAATTGTTTGTGGAAGATTGCAGCTATGATTTGATGGGAAAGAGGTTATAGGATCTCAGAAGAAAAGATTTGGTAGTGGCTTTTTTTTTCTTTTTTTTCTGAATCAGAGACCCACTCAGTAGCCCAATCTGTCCCGCAAATCATGGCAATTCTCCTGCCTCAGCCTTCCAATTGCTATAATTGTAGGTGCCAGCCACCACGACTGGCTTTGGGTATTACTTACATAAAACACACACGGAACACTGAGAGAGCAGGTAGATGTTTGTGAGTGACTGTGCACGTAAACGTGTGAGTGAGTATGCAAGTCTGTGTGTGTGTGTGTGTGTGTGTGTGTGTGTGTGCGCGCACGCGTGTGCATTTTGTGTATACCGGCTAGCTCCATTGAGCTGAAGGCAGTTTCACCCAGGGGTCCTAGCTCCTGAGATCTCTCTTGGGCAAAGGATAATTTGCTTCAGACTCACATTTTTTACTCACACACCAGTCATTGGAATACATGTGATTTCCAGACCGAGGTCCGCAGAACTGACTTGTTTGTTGGGATTCACGTCACAGGAGGCTGCAGATAGCCTGAACTCTCAGGGTAGGAAGGCAGTGCTGCTGTCCAAGAAGTAAGGGCCTATCCAGGAGGGCTTGGGGACTGAAATCTGAATGTAGGGATCCTGGATCCCCCTCTACTTTCTGGGCTCTTTACCTGGCCGTGTCAGAATTCAGTGTCCATGGCAACTGTCTTATTTTGGTTTTCATCCACAGATGAGATTGTAGTTTTCAGGTATGGGATAAAGCAGTTACCAGAGCAGGACTTGGAGGCCCCATGATCTATCTTTGGCTCTATAAGATGACACTTCATCTCTGTTTGTTCTTTTCCTTGTCTGCAAAAGGAATTTGATTGTATTTCCTCTTTCAGCTTCCTCCTGGATCCAGTATTCTCTGACTTCGAGGCTTTCCATGTTGATTAAGTTCGAGGCTTTCTATGTTGATTAAGTGCAGAACCAATTTTTAATATCTTCAGAATCCTCCATCTTGCTCAGCGACATTTGTTTCAATCACCGCATACCACGCCTCCCTTGGATGCTTCCCAAAGTGAAAATTCCAAATCGTCATGGTCCTTAATCTCTGTCTCCACCAACAGATGGAATCCACCAAAGCAGATCGAGTCTGAGTTCACAAAGCTCCCTTATCTATTTTGTTAATAGCTTTATTGAAGTACAATTGACATACAGTGAGTGGAACAATTTAGTGTGTATAATTTGTTAGATTATGGCATATGGATACAGCCACGGACCTTATCACCCACAATCAAGATAATGAAACCGTCCTACACCCCCCCCCCATTTTTTCTGTCCCAGGGTAGTCTGTCCCTCCCTCCATGTACTCCCCCCTGCATGTAACTCTGCTAACCACAGATTGTGTCCTGCCACTATTGAGTCCACAGTTTCTAAACTTAGTATAAATTAAATCATCAGTATGTAGTATTGCTCTGTCTGACTGTTTTTATTCAGCAGAATGGTTTTGTGATTTATCCATGTTTCTTTTTCTTTTTTAATGGGAAAGAGTAATACAAAGGAGCTGGGCAGCTGCCTATCAGATGGCTCTCCTACAATTATCCATTCATCAGTTGGTAGAATGAAATGGTTACTAGACGGTGGTACATTTTTCTTGACTGACCATTGATGTGGGAGAGCCTACTGTGGGTGGTGCCATCCCTGGGCTGGTGGTCCTGAGTTCTATAAGAAAGCAGACTGAGCAAGCCATGGTGAGCAAGCCAGTAAGCAGCACTCCCCCACGGCCTCTGCATCAGTTCCTGCCTCCAGGTTCCTGCCCTGAGTCTTGCTTAGGCTTCCCTTCATGATGGATGTGAGGTGTCAGGTGAAATAAACCCTTTGCTCCCTGATTGCTTTTGGTCATGGTCTTTATCACAGCAACGGAAAGTAAACTAGAGATTATTTTTTAATTTTAACAAGTTTTAAATTGAATATTTTATTTATTCTTTAACAATTTCATAGATGGAAACAATGTGTATTTATCATATGTATTCCAACTGCCCCCAACTACTCCTTCCCAGACCTCAATTCCTTCTCCTCACTCCCCCAAACCCCCGATTTTTCCCAGGAACTCCTAATTCCTCTCTCTCATTTCTCCCGGGAACTTCCAACATGTCTACCTCCCCATTTTCCTCCTATTTTAGTTTTGTTTTTTGGGTTTTTTTGTTAAAAATTTTTTTTATTCATTTTACATACCAACCACAGATCCTCCTCTCTTCCCTTCTCCTACCCCCCAGCTCCACCCCCCGAACCCAGCAAGGTAAGGCCTCCCATGGGGAGTCAGCAGAGCCTGGTACATTCAGTTGAGTCAGGTCCAAGCCCCTCCCCCTGCACCAAGGCTGTACAAGGTGCTCCACTATAGGCACTGGGCTCCAAAAAGCCAGCTCATGTACCAGGGATGGACCCTTAAGGGGGCCCCTTAAGCAGATCAAGCTGCACAACTGTCTCACTTATGCAGAGGGCCTAGTCCAGTCCCATGGAGGCTCCATAGCTGTTGGTCTAAAGTTCATGAGTTCCCACTAGTTTGGTGTGGTTGTCTCTGTAGGTTTCCCCATCATAATCTTGATGCTCCTTGCTCATAGAATCCCTCTTCTGTCTCTTTGACTGGATTCCTGGAGCTGGACCTCATGCTTGGCTGTGGGTCTCTGCTTCTGCTTCCATCGGTTCCTGAATGAAGGCTCTATGATGACAGTTAGGTTATTCACTGATCAGATTACTGGAGTAAGCCAGTTCAGGCACCTCTCCACTATTGCTACTAGTCTAAGCTGGGGTCATCCATGTGGATTCCTGGGAACTTCCCTAGCACCCAGTTTCTCCCTATCCCCATGATGTCTCCCTCTATCATGATATCTCTTTCATTGCTCGCTCTGTTCCAGCTTGACCATCCCATTCCCTTATGTTCTCATCCCCCATCCTCTACTCTCTATTGCCCCCAATCCCTAACTTACTCATGGAGATCTCATTTATTTCCCCTTCCCAAGGCGATCCATGCATCCCTCTTAGGGTCCTCCTTGTTAGCTAGCTTCTCTGAAGTTGTGGGTTGTTGTCTGGTTATCCTTTGCTTTACATGTAGTATCCATTTATGAGTGAGTACATACCATGTTTGTCCTTCCGAGTCTAGGTTACTCGCTCAGGATAGTTTCTAGTTCTATCCATTTGCCTGAAAATTTCATGATGTCATTATTTTTCACTGCTGAGTAGTACTCTATTGTGTATATATACCACATTTTCTTTATCCATTCTTCAGTTGAGGGGCATCTAGGTTGTTTCCAGGTTCTGGTTATTATAAGTAATGCTGCTGTGAACATAGTTGAGCATGTCTCCTTGTGATATAATTGAGCATTCCTTGGGTATATGCCCAAGAGTGGTATAGCTGAGTCTTGAGGAAGATTGATTCCCAATTTTCTGAAAAACCATCATACTGATTTCCAAAATGGCTGTACAAATTTGCACTTCCACCAAGAGTGGAGTGTTCCCCTTGCTCTGCATCCTCTCCAACATAAGCTGTCATCAGCATTTTTGACCTTAGCCATCTTAGATGTAAGGTGGTATCTCAGAGTCATTTTGATTTGCATTTCCCTGACGACTAAGGATGTTGAACAATTCTTTAAATATCTTTTGGTCATTTGAGACTCTTCTGTTGATAATTCTCTGTTTAGCTCTGTAGCCCATAGTTTTGTTTTTTGAGACAGAGTCTCACTGTGTGCCCCTGACTGACCTGGAATGAATGCTGTAGACTTGGGCTGGCCTCTAACTCACAGTGACCCTCCTGCCTCTGCCTCCTGAGTCTGGAAGTAAAGGCGTGTGCCACTTTTGTTTGTTTGTTTGTGTGTTGTTTGTTGTTAATGACCCTCTGAGTCCAATTAATGTCACCTATTGGAAGGTTGACTTATTTTCCGGAGTTGATTGACCTCTGGCAGGTCACTATAACGTCAGTGAGTTAGTTCATGGTGCAATGGCCATATCATGTCCCAAAGAGCATTTCACAGTGCGCCTCTCTGTCCTCCATCCCCTACACCCTTTCTTCCCCTGTTCTTAATGCTCAACAGGGAGATACAGATGTCTCATTTAAGACTGAGCACCCAATAGACACTTAATTCTCAGCACTTTGACCAGTTATGAGTCTAGGCTTTAACTGCTGACCACGAGACAAGAAGCTTCCCTGGCCAAGGTTGAGGGCAGCCCTAATTAATTAATTAAAGTGTGGGGTGTGTGTGTGTGTGTGTGTGTGTGTGTGTGTGTGTGTGTGTGTGG